GCTTACCTTCCACCCGCGCCCCACGCCTCGCGCCCCACGCCCCGTGTCCTCCAGCCCCGCGCACCGAGCCCTAGGCCCCTCTCCTCTATCACGCAGCAGTATCGCCGCCGACAGTCGGAAGTCAATTAATTAGGCGATCACCACGTGACAGCCGTGAACCGCTAATATATCTGTAGTTACAAACATAAATTAAAATAAGATGAAAATTTTTGCTCGACTAGCAAAAGTATTCGTTGCCCCGCGACCTGTAGCGTAAACAAATTGACTGATTTGTTGTTGTATCTAAATATAAATCACTATTTTAAGACGCAGAGTCTACATATTTATAACATGTTTTATATTTAGTAAGGCTATTGTCAGTTACCTCAAAATGTATTTCATCAATTGAATACGTAGTCTGTTTGGCGCGCGCCATGTGGGTGAGCGTGCGGGTGAGCGTGCGGGTGAATGTGCGGCTTGGAGGATTGAATTGAAACTTACACTTCGATAAACATTATTACAGTTATCTGGTTTTGAGGGAATTTACTACAAAGAATATTACAGTTCGGTGGACGTATTCAGCGCTTCCCTTCCTTCCCGCATGTCATGGGAAAGTAAAGCCAAATAGGATTACAACTGCCTACATAATAATATACAACATTTACAGGAAGAACTCAAGATATTTTTGACATGAGAAAAATAATAACCGGACTCTTACTTTATATATGTAATTGTAAGTTGTGAAGTGAAACATATAGAAATATTTACAACACAATTTGATTGTATGGCGCTATTTCTTTTTGCAAAAGCTATGTTATCTATAAAAACCTTTCAATCATTTCTTGAAAACTAATGTATTTAGTAGCTAATAGTTTAATTGGATCCAATATTATTTTATTGGAACATTGAGTGAATCAATATTCATGGTGCACAAACAGCGGCAGATGTCAAACTTGTACAATAGTAATTTGGCGGGACGTTTGTGATTTGTCGGCCCGTTAGCCGCCAACTTTACTGCGTAATCCGGCGACAGGCGTCAGGCGTCAGGCGTCAGGCGCGCACCCGGACGAAAGGGGAAACTTGGCGACTGTTTACAAATCAATGCGTCCAATGTTGACGACTTCGGTAAATATCGTCCGAAAGCGGCTGTTCAGTCCCAAGTTATAATGCTTATTGCTGTCATAGCGGCTTTGGGAATCGGTTTCAATAATTCGCAGAATATCATCCATTATTCAATAAGGTGAAAACAAATTATGTATGTACAATAGTTTGAGCTATTCAGCTAATTACTTCACAGCTATAAGATATAAAGAGCACCAGCGCAGTATGCTCCGTGTGATACATGGGCTAAAGCAATTAAGGTGGTAGTGCAGCGCCGGCGCGGGGCGGCGGTGTTTTCAATTAACAGCGCCTGTCGATATCCTACCCGCAAGCTCTCGATACCGCTACTCACCGCGCCGCTACCTCTACCCTTCCCGCCCGCGCTCCCCCCGCGCCCCGCCCGCGCCCCGCGTTATATACAAATTAACTAAATATATCTAGGGTCTAGATTATGTTATCTAAATACACAAAATAAATGTACAATATTTAGGTCAATGACTGAAAATAGTAACGTTGAAAGTTTAGTAGGAGCAACATATAATATGAAAACATTCATTGATTATATCATACCTGATTCAACTACATATATATAAACGTTTTAATCAAAAGCTATCAGTTGTATGTTGTATGTTAATTAAATTCAGTAAATGTGCAAGTTCTCACAGCTGCAAGATTTAGCGTCTTGAATGCACCACGACGTTCCCGCTCATAGTGTTAATTCATATTGCGAAGTGCATTTCCTTGTACTAAACCATCGATAAAACTATACCCTTCGCGCCCCGCGACCGGCACCCCGCAACTTGCACCCCGCAGCCCGGCACACAGACACACAGGCAGATCGAGTGAGTCCCGCAACAAGCGCCGCTAAATGTCACTAAGAATAATATTGTTTTGTAAAGTAAATAATTAAAAAAGTCATCTTACACAACATGTGTTAAATACCAGTATTGAAAATCGGACTGGTCAATAATTTAACAATAATTGTTGAAGGGAACTCGAGCGTTCACAAAGTACATTAATTAAGAGAATTATACGTTACATTGTTATTAGAAAAATAGTTGGCACATTGAAATTCTTTTGATGCGGCGTAGGGCTTGCATCTCGCGCAGAGGCCGGGCTCAAGTGCGAACAGTTTGCATTAGGAGTGCAAAAATGCGCGTTAACGGCAGCTAGTCACTGTTGACCTACATCTGGAGGGAGTTCTCTTTGACGCGATGAGAACGCGCCGCCGGAGCCGGGGCTCTAATTAGGCTGGCACAATGCGCTGCGTGTTTGTGTTACAATTACACCGCAATGAACATCTTCATGTCTATACCCATTTACCTTTTCCTGCTACATATTGAAAAGTTAATTAAGACTTTTTAAATTTTTCCCATTTTATTATTAATTCAATAAATCACCCTTAACTTAGGGTAGGCTCCGAGCCCCTCAGTGGGGACGTACATATAGTGAGAGCTGATGATGATAAATTAAATATCAAGTAGTCAATGAATAAGAAATATTAACCATTTCTTAGATAGCTGGAGTAAAATATATAAAATTGTTGAACTTAATGCTGAATTAACTGAAGTACTTACACATTCTATAGTTCGACTGAACTAATTCACGAGATTCAAATTATAACTCTCACAGTAACTAAACAAGCAAAATTAACAGATAAACATAAAGTAAACACAATCGACCTGATTTGTAAAACAATTTAAAATTTCAAAGTAATATTAAACTATCAAATGTTACCCTCAACTCTGTTAAATGGATTCTGCCCTTGAAAAGTCTGTATAAAATTAGTTTGAAATTAATTATGAAGTCTCATTACAAACAAGTATCATTTAATTTTACGTGTAATCTTTATAAAGTAGTAAACAGAATTATATCAGCCCTCAGCGTTCATTTACAATTCATGTAGGTACTTTTTCCCGCGACTTTGACCGCTTGCTGTTTAAAATCCCAAACAAATTTACATCACATGTTTTAGGGATGTATTAAAAACAATTTTGTAGAATGTATGTACATTGTAGAGTACTCTTTTTATCCTCCAAATCGAGTTTGAATAAAAAATCGATGTTTTTTAAACAGGTGAATCAGCTAACATCCTGCAGCACTGCTGTAGGCTTTCTGATCGATCGATAAATATAAAATAATACGATTCCATTGAAGTGACAATAATTGCATACTTTTATTGTTGTACAGTTGTTTATATATTATATATATCTAATAACAAACGAAGTAATTAAGGTAAATTAGAACATAAACAAATAGCTGACAATAGAGTAGAATTAATTCAGTGAAACTAAACAACAAACGAGAATCGGCTCATTAGCCGCACTCAATACCTATTGGCGATTAACTGTTCACCCACACGGTTTAACTATAATATAGACAATGCAAATGGCACTCTAAAGCAATATCAATACAGACCATTTGGAATGTTTTGCAATGATGTTGATATTCCAAATAATATAATTATGGTGATATTAAATGCGATGTTGTTCTATTAATTTATACTTTAGTTCTAATAACAATAATATCTCTAATATTAAGCAACATTCTTTAATTTACTTGATAACTGCCTCACTGCTTCCATATTGATGGCAACACTAATCAAATTGTTTAGTTTCTTTTTAAGTATAAGGAAACTATTGAACGTGCGGATAATACTTTTAGGCAATTTAATACGCTAGGTTTAGTTCATTTTATGAAATATAACGTAAAACGTAATAACTTATTTACACTTAATAAAAGCAAACGTTTACGAAAACAAAGTAACACAATGTAAAGTTAGTGCTTCCTACTTACAGATAATGCTGGCTTTTTCGAACACATCTAAAAGTATTGTTACAAAGCCGATTCAGTTATTAAAGATTTGACAACGCGTCGTCACTAAACATTGAAAGGAAATTTTCTAAGAGAGATTTTTAGGAATGCATGCAGTGAAAAAATATTTTCTCGCACTTTGCAATATCTTTGTTGTGATTCTATTTGTCCGAGTGCCGGCGCTACTTTCCTTGGATATAACGGGATTCAACCAAGATCATTCAGATATTCGATACTACAGTCTTAAGCTATCAATAAAAATATCTCTTCTGAAAACCAAGGAAAAGTGTATCGTAAGTGTTAAACGCGAGAGCGGTCATTTTAAGCGTAATAAGTAGACCATACTTTAGAATTTCAGATATGTCTAATAATCTTATTATTCTGCATTCAGAGAAGGGAAGTGCAACACAATTCAATATAACTAAATGCCATCACTTATCGTCTAACAAAGAGAGCGTGCGCGGTGTCGCTATCAGTGCGCACACGCCGCGCCGCTTGTTCATTGTCAGTGTCATATCGGTGTCCGGAGCAAACATTCTAATTGTATTGATTCAGACTATCTCTTCTGGGATGATGTAATTTCAGTTTTAACTTACACCGTACGAGAGCTAAGAAATTGATATAAATTTAATTGGCAATTCAATCGGATGAATGCATAAGTGAAAGGTTTGTCCTATTTAGTCACAGGAGTCTATCATACAGGATGAGGGTTACAAATCGTAAAACATCCGCTTCATATGAATATCAAAAGGCTTTCTCTTGTTGTATCTATAAGCAGAAGTTGAATTAGTCTGCTATTATACAAAAATCCATTTCTTTTGCATTAAAAGTTTAAATTTAAACAATTATATTGAAAAAACAACTCGCTGTAATGTATTACATATGTACGTAACCAATGAATATCAGTTATAATATTAGTATCATAAAATACTGTTTACAGTTTAACTAAATACTATTAACAATAATCTATACGTGCATTACTTAAATATTGTATGTACTTAGATACATTAGACTAAAGAACGTCAAATATATTGTGGTTGATAAGCCCTCGCCCCCACCGCGCGCTGCCGGCGGTGCCGCGTCTTATATAACCCATAACTAGAAACATTTACGTACAAGTTCATGGACTTTGGTGTCAGTCGCTAGCGGTCGCAACACAAGTGCAGTCATGTCGTCTAAAGTGGCCGTGGTGACCGGAGCCAACAAGGGCATAGGGTTCAGCATCGTCAAAGGCTTGTGCCAGAGGTTCGATGGTGTCGTGTACCTTACGTCGAGAGACGAGGGCCGAGGGCGCGCCGCTGTCGCCGAGCTCAACAAGCTCGGCATGAAGCCCGAGTACCATCAGCTCGACGTGACGGACCGGCCCAGCGTGGCGCGGTTCGCCGACCACCTGCGCCAGCGCCACGGCGGTCTCGACCTGCTCGTCAACAACGCCGCCGTTGCCAATAGTGTCGATCTATACAACTCCTACGAAGAGAACGAAGAAATTGTCCGAATAAACTACAAGAGTATTCTCTTGATCCAGGAACTAATCTTCCCGCTGGTCCGAGACAACGGGAGGATCGTCAATATCTCGAGCGACTGTGGACATCTCTCCAACGTAAAGAATAAGTATTGGATCGAAAGACTATCCGGTAAAAATTTAACAATGGAGGACATCAACGAATTTGTTGAGTGGTTCCTCGACAGCTGCAAAAACGGAACATTCAAGAGAGAGGATATTGCAGACGAGGGGACTGTCGCGGCGTACAGGGTGGCGAAGGTGGCTCTCAGCGCTGCGACTATATTGCAGCAAAAGGAGCTCAAGACGAGAAACATTTCTGTGAATTCGCTGCACCCCGGCTTAGTGCGCACCGACATGACTTGCGGGGTGGGGTTCTACAGCGCAGACGAGGCCGCCGAGACACCGCTCTACCTGCTGCTAGAAGCGCCCGCGACCCTTCAGGGAGCTTACATTTGGTACGACAGAAAAGTTCTGGATTGGTACGACTACAAGGCAGACTATTATTTTAAAACATCCACCCTTAAATCCTAAGCTTTTTTATTGTATAAATAACATAACAGCTACGTCGTCAATTCATCGTTTTGTTACATTTTTTTACTCATAATCGTGATGATACAATAAAATTTTAAGAAATAAAAATGTTTTTAATACGCATGTGTCAAGGTGACGACAATCGCGTCACTCACGATTTCCTACGAGTACGTCGACTTCTAAGCGGCGGTATTTTAGTGATACATTTAAAAAAAAATGATTTTTTATGCGAATTTAGTTAATCTTTAGTGTTATAGTCACAATTTTTATCGTTTACTCAATACAGATAATAATAAAACAACAAGTAAAAAGCAATACTTCTTATTACCATTATTTGTAAAAATGTAACATCCATTTTATATTTTCATTTATTAGCCACTTCATCTCATCAACATTATTATAGATTCATTGGTCATACAGTCTCATACAAGTACATGATGACATGATGACATGATGACACTCGTGTCTATAGTTTTTTTTATTGAACTAATTCATAAATTGTATCATAAGTTATTGATTAAAAACTTTTTTCTTGTATACCTTAATTAAAATATCGTTTGCTGTCTCTATTAATCATTTTTGTATTTACCCATGTAATGGACCGGTATATAAATAACGTATAATCTATAATAATATTCTTATTTGGAGGTATTTAAATTAATGTAACTTTGATAGTAATATGAAACTGGAGAGCTGATGAACTGATATACACGTGCATGTTAATTAATGTGTTCGGGTACAACAAAAAATATTATCAAACATTTACAACGTGTTAAAATTTTTATATATAAAATATATTGCTGTCAGTGACCAACACATTCATACCTCAGCTAAACTATATGATTTATAATAAACAGTCAGTTAAATATAATTGATTCCATACAATACTTACAATGCACGTTATTTTGAATCCTCTGTAGTTTTAAACAGCCCAATATACATTCCAAGTGTTGGAGCACTAACGTTATTCTCGTGTACTCGCAATGGAAGTTTAGCAATGCTATTCCTCTTAAAAGCAAAAATCACAACAGATTTACAAGTAGTGTTTTACACAACTTTGTTGAACATACATACATACACATCTACATAACATTTATTTCACTTATTATGTAAATGTTGCATTACTTTAATTTTCCATAACTTGTTTTAAAACTGTATTATACATATTATCAATTGCATTACTTTTACTTTTACTGATTACTCTTCAATTTGTTATTTAATGCAGTAGCATATTAACATAATGTCAGTCGTAATTAGAAAGTGAAAAAAGGAAGACATGTTGAAAAAAGTCGCCGTCGTAACGGGCTCCAATCGAGGCATTGGCCTGAGCATTGTCAAAGGATTATGTCAACGATTCGATGGTACCGTCTATTTAACTTCAAGAAATGAAGCACAAGGGAAATCAGCAGTCGACAATTTGTATAAACAAGGTCTACGTCCTGAATATCACCAACTGGATGTAACAGACAGAGCAAGTGTTCTAACATTTAAAGAACATATACTTAAAATGTACGGTGGAATAGATATATTGATTAATAATGCCGGAGTATTGCCAAGTCGAGAATATTCATACGAATCAGAAGAAAATTTTAAGACTATAGAAGTTAATTTTAAAAGTATAATAATTATTCAGGAATTACTTTTTCCTCTAATTAGAAATAACGGACGGATCCTCAATGTGTCCAGTGCTTGCGGCCATCTTTCTAATATAAAGAATAAATATTGGATCGAAAAGTTGTCTGACAAAGATTTGAATATTAGTGTTATCGAAGACTTTGTGGATTGGTTTCTCGAGGGCTGTAGAAACAAAACATTCACTAAAGAAGATCTCGCAGATGATGCAACATTTGCCTCGTGCAGAATATCAAAGGTGGCATTGAGTGCTATAACCATAGTACAGCAAAAGGAACTCGAGAAAAGAAACATATCAGTGAATTCGATGCACCCCGGCCTGGTCCGCACCGACATGACGCAAGGCGTCGGCTTTTACAGCGCCGACGAGGCTGCCGTGACACCTCTTTACCTAATTCTAGATGCTCCTCCCTCTCTGAAAGGCTCTTTCGTCTGGTACGACGGGAAAGTGCTAGATTGGTATGATTACAGTGCTGACTATTATTTCAAATATGCAACTTTTCTACAATACCAAACAAAACATTAATAAATAAAGAATTTTGGTATTTCTGCGATTTTGTCGCTCACAGATAATATCTGGCTTTTTAGTAAACTTTTTTATATTCGTGCTTCCAGTTAGATTATAATATGACATTAATGTAAGTTTGCAATTTATTAGAAGTCTTTACACTTTGACTTAAACTTACAATAATATGTTAATCAGTTAAGTAACAAAAGCCTATTGTGACATTTCAACTAAAAAGCAAATGTTTTGAGTTTTACAAACGTGTGGTTGAAGAAATGCTTTTGTAATTATTTACTAAGTGATGTTTCATTATAAAAGCCAGATGTTATAATTATATCTTAATATAAATAATATTTCAATGTGATAGCAGATATTTGTCTTGATAAATATTCGACATTTTATAATAAACATTACAGATAAAATTCATATCAAAACATTGGTTATTATTCAGTGATTAATTGAGACCGAACAGAAACAGACATGTCAAGTAAAGTGGCCGTCGTCACAGGTTCTAACAAAGGCATAGGACTAAGTATCGTTAAAGGACTATGCAAAAGATTCACTGGAATCGTTTATCTAACTTCAAGAGATATTGAGCGAGGAAACAATGCAATTAAAGATTTAAGAAAGCAAGGATTGTTCCCACGTTATCACCAACTAGATGTAACCGACAGAGAAAGTGTTTTAAAGTTTAAAAACTATTTACAAAGCAAATATGGCGGAATTGACATACTGGTGAATAATGCAGGTGTTGCTGTTAGCGAGGCGTATCCAAATTTTGAAGAAAACCAAATGATTATTGATACTAATTACAAGAGTATTTTGACAATACAGGAATTGATATTTCCTTTAATAAGAGACAACGGGCGTATTCTTAATATATCTAGTGATTGCGGACATCTTTCCAACATTAAAAACAAATATTGGATCGATAGATTATCGAGTCGAAGCTTGAATATGGAAGACATTCAAGAGTTTATCGATTGGTTCCTCAAAGCGTGTGAGAGCAACACATTCAGAAGGGATGATATCGCTGACGATGGATCATTTGCAGCGTACAGAGTCGCTAAAGTGGCATTGAGCGCCGCGACAATTTTGCAACAGAAAGAACTTCAGACACGGAATATTTCCGTTAATTCAATGCATCCGGGCCTAGTACGAACTGATATGTCACGTCATATTGGATTTTTAAGTGCTGACGAAGCAGCCGTGACTCCACTACACCTAGTTTTGGACGCACCGGATTCACTTAAAGGTGCTTATGTTTGGTTTGACGGTAAACTTATAGATTGGTACAACTATAACTCTGATTGTTATTTTAAAAGATCTTCATATTTACAACTTTTAGCTGAGGCAGGTCTCTAATTTGTTTAAGGTTTTTAATTTTTTATTATATATAAATTAGTGTAAATGTTTGCAAATTTCTTGATATTTATTGAGAATATTTTTTGAACACTGGTTTCTTTTCTTGTTAAATCATTTCTTTAAATGCCCATTTCAAAGTCTAGAAATTCAATTTTAATAATCTAAATATTTAAGACAAAGTAATAAAACTATTAAAGCAATTTTAAGTTATGTAAGTAACGAAAGAAGATAACATATCTATCGTTGCGCTCCGTCGACTTATTGTTTTTCGCTTTAGTATTACTGATAAAAAATTGAAAACTAAGTATATATAAAATACATAGATTACTACAGGTAGATTATTTATTTTTGTGGAATGAGATAACACGTTTAGTAAGTCGCAGACACTTCATAGGGACAGTCATGTCAACAAAAGTCGCGGTGGTGACTGGATCTAACAAAGGCATTGGCCTTAGCATTGTCAAAGGTCTCTGCAAGCGATTCGATGGAGTTGTTTATTTAACATCAAGAGACGAGAGCCGAGGAAAAGCTGCAGTTGAAAATTTAAACGCAGAAGGGCTATTCCCTGAATTTCACCTTCTCGACATAGCAGACAGAAAAAGTGTTGAACGGTTTAGAGATCATATAAAAGAAAAGTATGATGGAATTGATATTTTGATAAACAACGCTGGTGTTTCTGGTGGCTTCATTTCTACACATTATGATGAGTGCAAGTCAATAATAAATATTAACTTTAATAGCATTTTAATATTAGAAGAACTAATTTTTCCATTAGTAAGAGATAATGGCCGAATCCTTAATATTTCCAGTGATTGTGGCCATCTTTCAAACATCAGGAATCAGTATTGGATTGAAAAGCTATCCAATATAGATTTAAACATGGATGATATTGTACAGTTTGTTGATTGGTTTCTTCAAAGTGTTAAGGACAACACGTTTAACAAAGAAGACCTCGCAGACGGCGCGACAGCGGCAGCGTACAGAGTAGCGAAAGTGGCGCTGAGTGCCGCCACCATCGTACAGCAAAGGGAGCTCGATAAAAGGAACATTTCTATAAACTCAATGCATCCCGGATTGGTTCGAACGGATATGACCACCGGCATTGGATTCTACAGTGCTGACGACGCAGCCAAAACTCCTATTTATCTAGTGCTCGATGCTCCTGCAAGTCTCAAAGGTGCTTACATCTGGCACGACGGAAAAGTGGTGGATTGGTACGATTATAAATCAGATTATTATTTCAAGATATCAACGGTTTTAGATCAGGTACCGAATAAAGATTAGTTGTTGAACTATTATAAGTATTGCTGAAATAAAACACCCATTCATCATTTTTATATATTTTTTTAATCTTAACCTCCTCCTCCTACTTAGAAGAAATATCTAAACTAAGACACACATAAATATACCTAGTTACTTGATTCGCTAACATTATTTTTTGTTATTACTATCACACTGATAACCTTGCCCGTGATAAACTTCTTCATACATACTTTGTTCTCAACTTTAGTTTTAATTAAATCTTCACAAAAAGTAGACATGTCAGTTAAAGTCGCCGTAGTGACGGGATCTAATAAAGGGATCGGTTTTAGTATCGTTAAAGGTTTGTGCAAAAGATTTGATGGGGTCGTGTATTTAACATCGCGGGATGATTCTCGAGGCAAAGCCGCAGTCGCACAGCTCAATGCCTTAGGCCTATCCCCGCATTACCACCAGCTGGACGTCGTCGACCGCGAGAGCGTCCTCAGGTTCAGGGATCACATAAAAGAAAAATATGGAGGTATAAACATACTGGTGAACAACGCCGCCATCGCAAACAGTGCCGAGTGGTATAATTCGTACGACGAAAATAAAAATATTGTTGAAATAAATTATAAAAGCATATTAACTATCCAGGAATTATTATATCCCTTAATAAGAAACGGAGGTCGAATTTTAAACATTTCTAGTGATTGTGGACATTTATCCAACATAAAAAATAAATACTGGATCGATAGATTATCGAATAAAAATCTGACTTTGAACGATATTAATGAATTTGTGGAATGGTTCCTCGAACAATCGAAGAATGGAAATTTGTCCGAAGATGACATTGCGGATAACGCAACATTTGCAGCGTACAGAGTGGCTAAAGTTGCTGTCAGTGCTTTGACGATGCTGCAACAGAAGGAACTGGATGGAAGAAACATATGTGTGAACTCCATGCACCCGGGACTGGTGCGGACCGACATGACCCTCGGCGCAGGTTTCTACAGCGCGGACGAAGCGGCCGAAACTCCTCTGTACCTTGTGCTCGAAGCCCCCGCCACTCTGAAGGGCTCCTATGTCTGGTACGATAAGAGAATATTGGATTGGTTCGATTACAACGCTGATTATTATTTTAAGACTGACACATTGCGGAAATGATGGAAATGAGGTTTTAAATATATTTCAATATTGTCATAAGAGAATTTAATTTTTCCTTAAGCCTTATAATTTGTTGTGAGATTTTATTATTATAGATTGGAGCATGACGTGTTCCTCAAGCCCCACACGATATGCTGCTTTGCAACAGACTGTACATGAGCATTACAGTACTGAATGCATTCTTAAAGCCGTTCTTCTGCAAGTTTTTAACTTTTCCACTTTTGTATAGTCTCGTGACATTTCTTATCTTAAAGGTTTAATGTATCTTAATTATTTTAATTTTGAAATACTATACTAAGCAGTAAATATGAAAACAAGCAAATAATATAGTCTTTGCTTAGCTGCAATGTTTATAACTATAAGCTAGGAAAGCAGCGCGACGATTTCAATGAAACCACTGAATTCATTATTGTACCAACAATTGTTCTAATGGCCGGCTTTATGCCTTTGCTCGTTGTTATTGCACCATTGTGGAGCATCATTATTTCTTAAACAGGCGTTAACTTCGCTTAAGTTGCCTTAAAAATAAAGGCGTTAAATTGTCACATTAGTCAGAACGGAATTCACTTTTGTTTTTAATATTATGACATTTATATTATAACTTGTGTTCATTGTACATATTATACAAAACTTATACACCTAAGGATTAGTTAGCTATATCAATACCTACATTTATCTGATGGACTTTGATCTTCGACCCTGACCGAGCGCCAATGTACGACTCATCATGATAACAATATTTTTGTGCCGTCATATTACTCGTATATTTACTTATTCACAAAGAATCATGTCATTCGGATGACTTGTCAAAAATCCAGAAATAAAAAACGTTTTTTTTTAATTTCGTACCATCTTTTTTTAATGTTGTGTCGTTACTAGTATTCAATACTTTATCTGTTTAAAATATATACAATGTTTTCTAATTTTTTTTTTTATTTGACTGATAAAACTTCGGAGGTAACTGAAATTTTATTTTCTCTATAACATTTTTGGCAAGAGAAGTGAGTCTTTAAATAATATTTTTATCGGTACATTTTACAATACCTAAGTCCGATATTTATATGCGATGAGATACAAAGCGAGTTAAATAGAACGCGAACGCGCAGCAGTTTGTATCAGTTTGGCTAGCCGCCAGCCGCCAGCAGCCAGCAGCCAGCAGCCAGCAGCCAGCCGCCAGCCGCCAGCCGGTGCGGTGCGGTGCGACGAATGCTGTCAGTAGCACACCACACGCGTGCCGCCCTCACAACATCACGTCCTCGGCTGTACAGTCGATGTTACAAAGGCAAAAGGACTTCCAAAGCGATCCGGTCTGAAATCACAAAGGGATACCCGTCCATTGTGTCGGCTCGCGGCCAAACGCGGAGGTGGCCCTTTCATTAAATATTGTTGCCCTTTTCATAAATTTTCAGCGGACGGAGCGATAACGTCGGGACTCAATTAAAATCACAATCAATAAATTGTTATTCAACATTATCTACAGCTTTCTCTCAAGTTCAAAATAATACTGTATATTCAAAATATTTACCATCTCTATCCTGGCTCAGAGTACAGCTATGTACATATATCAGTGAACGGAGAATGGAATATGCAGCTGAATATTTTATACGACGGAAAGTAATAGTGTGCTATAGTCAAATTATCAACTTTGTCAAGAGGGTTCCAGATCACTCAGTGTGATCAGATCAAATGATGCGACGCCGCGCCCGCTTTTGCCAACCTAATGTCAATCCGCAACGTACAAATGTCTAGCAATGAAACATGCTAACTGTCCGTATTAAAGCTATTATGATGTATAGTAAATATAAATATAACTCGTCTCGACTATACGACTATATGAATTGAATATTGTAAATGATTAATAAATGTATGAAGAGAGCTTGTGTGTCGGCAGACAACAATGCGGTGCGTGTTACAATGGTGTATTGTGTGCGAGTGTCAGTGCTGGTAGCTGGGAGCTGGGAGCTGGGAGACCACTTGTACTGTAAGCAGAGAGCTGCTCCTACATATGTACTACATAATATACTTATTTAATTCAGTACATTGACTTTACTTTTAACTTATATATCTTGTCTGTAAAGTTACATATATTTATATTATAATTATTTGAGATGTTTGATATATTATTTAATAACAGCAATTGTCTGCAACTTTGACCGCGCGGAATAAAAATAAATCTAGAAATAAATATATTTGTGACCCAAGGATAGTGCTGCAGCTTCCCAATACTGAAATAATTTTTCAAATCGGTTGAGTCGTGAGTTTGGAACCTATTTAATGTAACAAATGAATCAAAACTTTCCTCTTTATAAAATTATTATATATTTATGTTATTCAAGTGATCAAAATAAATAAAATATTGTTTATTGATTATATTCATAAAACATCGCGAGTACGCGGCGCTCATCGCGTGATGTGTAAGTATTGCTTACGATAAACAATTTAATTATCACGTAAATACTAACCACTTTATTATATGAATTAACTATATTTATATTACGTGGTAGAAGTACTTTCTAATATTAAGTAAATTTATCTGGACGTTTAGGAAGCAAATAAACAGGATGTATTTGTTTGGACGCGGTCCAATGGCATGTCCCGGTCACGCGGCGCGCGCGCCCTCTACCCGCGGGTTAACTGTTCACTGCACACATATTGTGATATCATTGAAGCTATTAAAAAAAGCTTAACTCAATTAAAGGAAAGTCAAGTGACTACTTAAAAAGGTTGAAAAGTTTTTACCGGCATTATAACTTACTCTGTGGGAAAGACGAGGTAATTTTGGCTTAGCTAAAACGCTTAATATCGTACCGCTAGCGCGCTTTTTTACATTATATTGAGGAAATCTTAGTAAAATATAAAAGAGTGTATCTAAAATTCTGTTATTTGTAATTTATTCAAGGTGCGAGTTTAACTTTAACTCGGCTTTCCTTAAAACTTCAGAGGACGCGGAGTTAGCAACATTAGTATTCAGCGTCAGACGACCTTGATAACCAACATTTCAGACCTCAACTTCAGTATCGAATATTAACTAAACATCGAAAGTAACTTTTGTACAGACGCGGTGCGTGATCTTACTTACAAATATATTTAATAACACTTACAGTAATACTACTAAAAATATAGTTAAACGTAGTTTAGGAAAATATAAAACGTATGTTTTATATTTTCCTAAACTACGTTTATAATAGAAAATATAAAACGTATGTTTTATATTTTCTATTATATATGTATCGACAAATCAGCTTTCACTGCTTTCTTATTAACATCGCATTTTTGAAGTCTACGCTTGATTTTCTTTTACTAATAATGATTTCTGATATTTTCTTATATCAGTTAAAAGAGTTGACATATGTTTATGTTAAAAAGTAGATAATTGAACTAAGTTGTTTATAGTTACGTTCTTACATTTAACACTAGATAATGTCAGGATTGCCAGGACAATATCTAACATTGTTCACTTCACACGAGGTATGTAGAATTAGAAGTATTTTTTTCTTCTATGCTTCATACAGGCGTACATCCAAATTAACGTAAAATAAGTAAGTTTTAATAGAAATTATTTTAAGTTGAAAATGTAAGATAAAATGATTACCTGCTACATTGTGATTGTCGCGTTGCGCCGCGCTGTCCGGACTCCTGTCCTGTGCCAGAAAATGTTTAAAAGCCAAGCCAAAAGCAATTTTAGGAACGTTAGGATTTCATCTATAGTTAATAGCGCCTTTGAATATTCCCCTGCTGCGGCAACGCACACAATTGTATCTGTTAACATGCTCGAGAATTAATATTGTACAACGCCGCTTATAAAGTACTTAGCAGTAGTAAAAAACAAAAGAATCTTTAATGTTCTCCTACCATAATTATTAAAGAGTAAAAGTAAAAGTTGTGTTACACGTTTGTAAATATTTAACTATAGGTTATGTATTGTATACATACTAAGTTTTTAACTAATACATAGAACATATATAACCGGCATTCAGCTGGTGACCTAGCATTATGTAATGGACGATTAAATTCAGAATATGCAGAGATATGTAATGCATAGAGGGACGGGTGAGGGGAAGGAGGGGGGGGGACGAGAGACGTGGAGCGCTTGATAGCAGTAAATAAGTGAATGATTGAGCGCGGGTGATGCGAGCTCCAAGCATATTTGTTTATCTCTCGAAACCAGTGAAAAAGTCGCGTTAATTTGAAGTGTACGTTTTGATACATGGATAGCACTTCGTTAGCATATCAAGCATTGCTATCAAGATTTATCTATTAATTGATTTGTAATCACAAATCACACTTAATTTAATTATTTCTCCTCTCTATTATTCATCTCCTCTGTTTGATTATTTGTAGATAAGTAACATTACTACTTAAAGTAAACTTAGTCATAGTACCGTACTAAGGAGATTCAGGACAAAACTTTTAGTGCGGGACAAGTTTCCAGAGAGTGTTTTGCTGCATGTGACAAATAATAAGTGCCTAATCGTCCGTACCACAACTTACTTTGCTTAGTCTCAGTTTAGTCAATAATATCTACACAACTCTCGCAATGGCTACCCGCTACAAAATTTACGTAATTATTAAAAACAATATAACATTACATGCATGTAAATATACCAAACATTAATAGTAAGCTCTTATAATATTACGTCGTGTGATTAATTTGTAATCCTCTCAGGTTATCATAAAGTATAATACTCAGCCATGTCTAATTAAATTAGAATTAATAACAGTCGACAATGTTGATGTGATGTGTAATGCAGAAACGTACATATACTCCGCGGCTCGCATTCACTAAATCATTGTTAATAGCTTTGAAGAACACGTAAATTCTGAGCGAACCATTTCATTGTGATTATCGAGCAATTAGTGCACTAATTAAGATCCTTAGCATCGTGGTACCTACGTGATATGCTAAATATACACGTTACATAGATATACATATGTAAATATTACTCAATTATTGATATTATGTGTTATATATTTATGTATAAAGAAGGGGATTTAGATATTAAAAAATGTGACGAAACAGAAAAATAGACTCGTTAAAACAGACAGACTTGTCTTCAAATTTCCAATCGTTTTGCAATAAACAGAATGATTTTTTCTACTTCCTCATCCAGCGACTCCGTGGCGCAACGGTAGCGCGTCTGACTCCAGATCAGAAGGTTGCGTGTTCAAATCACGTCGGGGTCAAAACGAATATTTTTGTTAATTTTACAAAATTTTAATTATATTTTTTACATTTTTTTTGGGAATACCTTTATTAAATAATGCATAAATATTTTTCAATGTAATGTAATGTATAAGATACCAACAAAAATGCATAGAATTTGTTTTCTGAATCAGAATGTGTATGTACTTTGTTATTCGTGAATGGTGATAAAATTTATCAAATTTTCAGTAGTTTCTTTCTGAGTTCAACTGAGAGCAACAGAGCGATCAAATCTTTTCTCTTTATCATATAA